CACACACGCCTGGCTTGAGTTTAAGCCACCAGGTCCGGGACTGAATCGCGGTCGACTACCTGGGAGTCCAGCAACATAGCCATTATGCCAACTGATGGTCCCTCAGTTTATAACTCTTGCTGTTATGGCTACAAACCAGTTGATTTTATATATGAATACGAGCACTTTTGCTTAACCTCTGATGTACAATTAATTCAAAACTAAATGGGTCGGGCCAGCAGGTGGTGTGGTTAAGGCACTGGATTCCCACATGATTAATGAAGGTTTGAGTTCCAGACCTGGTGGCTTGCTCTTTCTTTCTCTCTCTCTCTCTGGTGACTATAGAAAATTAAAATAATAATAAAATAAATCTTTACAAAACAAAAACTGAATGGGTTAGTTCCAGCTGTGGTGGTGCAGGCAGAGGGGCACTAACTACATGAGGCAGGAGCCATACGAGAAGGCTCAGGGTTCAGGTCCTGGGTGACCTGAATACGCCAGGTAGGGCCATGGTCTTGGCTAGATGGAGGACTGGGTGGGGAATCAGGATGTGATTGGGCTCTGTCGGGGTGCCTTCCTCTCTCTCCTTAAAATAAAATTTAAAAAAAGAAAACAAAAAAACCTAATGGGTTAAACTGTAAACACAGTTTCCTTCTAAACTCAATCACATTTAATCTGTTTGATTTGCACACTTTCGATAACTAATATGAAAAACCTAAAATCTGATGAAATCTCCCCAAGTATTCAAATACTAGCTTACTTAAGTCTAAACTCATAAGTTAAATAAATGAAAATCTTTGAAGCATTTATTGTTTATAAATTTAATTAAATATTCTTAGACATTTTAAAATTAAAATCACTGATCTAATTTTCAAATTCCTTTAAGTATGCCAAATTAAATTCAAAGTAGCAAACCTAATATAGTAGGTCCTCTTAAATATTTCAAATATCTTATGTAACAATGTCACCACAATCAGCAACACACTCCTCCATTTGACAAGGATTACTGAACTCATGTAATTTATTTACTTGCCATAATCCGTGTGCTTTAACACTCACCCCACCAAGCTGACATGCTTTGCCTCAGGTGAGGGCCATGAGACATTAATAGTAAGAGATTTTAGACCAGGCGCAGGACTGGGTATTCTGCGATGGTTCTTTTGTTTTGGGTTTTTTTTTTTTCCTGGAGAGGATTTTTTATTTTTGGAGAGGTTTTTGCTATAGGGCACATGCACTCGCCAGACAGACAGAGACAGAGACAGAGAGAAAGCGAAAAATCACCCCCCAGGGGGGATGGCCATGCCGCAATCCCTTCTCTCCATTCTCCTCTCAGGATCTTAGGCACGTATGCACACGCACCCAGCATGAGTTTTAAGCCACCGGGTCTGGGATGCGTACCACGGTCAACTACGTGGGAGTCCAGCGACATAGCCATTACGCTATCTGCTGGTCCCCTGGAGAGGTTTCTGCTATAGGGTGCATGTGCTTGCCAGAAAGAGAGACAGAAATAAAGAAATCACCCCTCCCCCCCAGGGGAGATGGCCATGCTGCAATCCCTACTCTATTCTCCTCTTGGGATCTTGGGCACGCATGCACACATGCCCGGAGTGAGTTTAAGCCACCGGGTCTCAGACTCAAACCACGGTCGACTACGTGGGAGTCCAGTGACATATGCCAACTGCTGGCCCCACTTCTGCGATGGTTCTACCCAAGCTGCAAGTTAACAAGACCCTCCTTGTAGTAAGGGGATCTGAAGTTCACCTGGTATCTTGCACCTCATGTGATAACTTTACCTCCTGCACAACGTTTGCTAGGCTGATACACATCGATCCATCCTCTCACCCACTGTCCAGATTGCAGCTACTTTACTGCCTCATTGGATTCTTCTCCCTTTTTTTTTTTACTTTTTTTTTCTTTATTCAATGAATAAAGATGACACATGCACCTTTCAGAGAGAAAAAAGTACCCCATCCCCTAGTGAAGCCTGGGCATACTGTAATCCTTTTTGTGATTTCTCTCTCTCTGTCTCTGGTGAGCACACACACCCTGTAGCAAAATTTTTAAAAATTAAGAATTTTTTATTTTTTATTATTGTTTTTTTTTTTTTAATTTGACCAGAGACAAAGAGGGAAGTGAGAAACCAAACCACCAGATCTGGGACTCGAACTACGGTAGGCCACGTGGGAGACCAGCATCTTAACCACTAGCCCACCTGCCGGCCCCAGCAAATAATAATTTTTTAAAAATTAAAAAGATCTATCTATTGGGCCAGAGTATACCTGGTTCATTGATTGTAACTGCAATGCAGTTCTGCCAGTGTGCTTATACCACGTTTTGCCTGTACACTCTCCCAGTAATGGACATCCTTGTACACACCCTTTATGGACCTATGTGAGAATTTCTTTTGCATACACATGTAGTACCAGAGTTTCCAGGCCACATTATATGCATACATTTAATTTGACTAAATGGCTCTCCACAATATGAGTAGTGTTGGGCCAGCCTTGTGGCCTAGTGGTTAAAAGAGTCAAATCCCACATGGCAGATTGTGCAGTTCGAACACCAGCCCGGGCAACTTGAAAAAAAAACTCCAAGTGCATGTGTATGCATGCCCAAAGTCACAACAGGATGAGGAAATGTAGAAGAGATTGCTTTTATTTATTTTTATTTCTATCTTTTAAAGAATTATTTATATTTGTTACCAAAACTTTTTAAAATTTGATCAGAGAGAGAGAAAAAGGGAAAGTGAGAAAGCAAGCCACCAGGCCCAGAACTGGACCCAGGCAGCCATGTGGGAGTCCAGCATCCTAACCATCATGCCACCTGCCAGTACCTATTTAATTTAATTAATTAATTTTTTAAGAAAGAATATTTTATTTGTTATTATTATTTTTTAATTTCACCAGTGAGAGACAGAGAGAAAGGGGAAGTGAGTAAGCAAGCTGCCAGGTCCGGGACTCAAACTGCAGGTGGCCACGTGGGAGTCCAGCACCCTTAACCACCATGCCACCTGCAGGCCCCATCCCCTATTTTATTTTTAAAAATTTTACAAGAGAGTGCATGTGCTTGCTAGGGAGAGAGAGAGAATGTGAGAAAGCACTTGTTAGGAGAAATGGTCATGCTGCAATTCCTTCTCCATCTGTCTCTCCTTTCAGGACTTTGGGAATGCACCAACAAGTGTTCAGCATGTTTCACAGGCTCCCAGGTCTAGGATTTGAACCAGGCAGTCAGGCATGTGTGATCTAGCCACTTTAACCATCATGCCACTGCTGGCCTAGATTTTTTTTTTCTCAAAAAAAGTTTATTTATTTACTTATTACATATGAGAGAGAGAGAGAGATCCCTCTCAAGGTCTTGCCACATTGTGATCCTCTCCCAGCCTTCCAGCTAGCCAGGATGGTGGGTAGCATATTTAAGTCAACCTGAAATCTGAACCAGTTGCCTCTAGGAGCACTCAGTGATCCTCTAGTACCTTCACCATGGAGACTGGGCATTTTCTCTCTTAATTGAATTTTTTTTTTCCTGAGAATACATTGAAAACTTTAATAATAATTAAAAGATAACTTGTTCACTGGCCTAAAGTATGTAGTGTCCTGAAATAATGAGAAAATAAAGTTTTTACTTTGGGACCAGCAGTTAGCATAATGGCTATGTCGCTGGACTCCCATGTAATCGACTGCAGGTCAAGTCCTGGACCCAGTGGCTTAAACTCACACTGGGCACGTGTGCGTGAGTGCCCAAGATCCCAAGAGAATGGGGGAAAAGGGATTGTGGCATGGCCATCCCCCCTGGGGGAGGGGGGATTTTTTGCTTTCGGTCTCTCTGTGTCTCTCTGTCTTTCTGGCGAGCACACGCGCCCTATAGCAAAAACCTCTACAAAAAAAGATGGAAAAAAAAGGTTTTACTTTCTTTTTAAAAATTTTATTTATTTATTCATTTATTTTAATTTTACCAGAGAGACACACACAGATTGAGAGAGAGAGAGAGGGAGGGAAAGTAAGAAAGCAAGCTGCTAGGTCTGAGACTCAGACTGTGGTCAGCCATGTGGGAGGGTCCAGCATCTTAACCACCAAGCCACCTGCTAGTCCCCAAAAGTTTTCACTTTCTATCGCAATAAGATTCATATATTTTCCCCATGTGTCTGAAAATTCTGTCTGGATTATTCAGGGGGTTGATGTGAGGACTGAATACTTAATACAGGCTAAGGCATTCAATGTAGTGCCTTAACCTAGTAAATCCTCAGTTTACTGCTATAATAGACTTTTAAAAAAGTCCAGTGTCTTTAACTACCACGCCACCTGCTGACCCTGAGGTATTAAGTTTTAAAAAAATCAGTTGTTTGTTCAATTCAGTCAACTTAACATTAATTTTATTAATTTCTACTTTCTTCTGAATGTTCAGACTTGCTTTCTAATCAGTGCATTTAAGAAGACAAATTTTTCTTAGAGTATTGCTTTGGCTGCATCCCACAAGTTAACATACCTAGTGGATTCATAGTTACCCTGTTAATACTGAAAAGCAATGAGGTATGTAAGGTGCTTAGTACAGTTGGTGCTCAGTACTGGCTAGCTCCTTTAAACTATCCTGTACGTGGCCAACAGGTTTTGTGTGGCATTCCCAGAATACCAGGTAAGCACTCGGCTAGCAAAAGCCCACCCCTTGAATTTGGCTCTTGTGACTTCTCCTTGCTTCCCCAGGGGGCGGGGCCTATCGCCACGCCCTCTCACCTCACTCTGCCACGTTCCCATGACACCACGCAGGCGCTAACAACAAGTTCTATAATGTAATCCCCGTCTCCTTCCGCTACCTAAAAGCATCTCTGGGACGACGATGGGAAAAATAGTCCCTGGCAACGGCGTTCTTTTCATAAGGGGGCGGAACTAGGGCGGGGCTTACGGGAGGAAGGAACCGGAAGTTTATGAGCCCTGTGGCGGGATTGGGCCCCGCGCTCCCGAGGGGCGGGCTCAGGTGGGCGGAGGGATCCATTTTAGGTGGCGGGCGGCACTTCGCCACCATTTAAGGAGGAGAGGGGCGCGGGCGGCAGTTGCTGTGGTTTCCGTCCCGGTCTACGTGTCTCTGACTTGCGCATCGTGGAAGTAGTGTCCCACGTCCAAGTCCCGCCATCTGTAGCTGCAGATCGGGAGGTTAGGGGGCCGGTGCCCTTCCTTCGGACCAGGACCTGCCTCCGCCTTGCCTGCGGCACTCAGTGCTCATAGCTTCTCCGGGGCCTAGATCGGCTCCGGGGCGGCTGAGAGGGCCACCGGCGAGATGTTCAAAAACACGTTCCAGAGCGGCTTCCTCTCCATCCTCTACAGCATCGGCAGGAAGCCCCCCCACGTCCGGGGACAAA